CACAGGTTTTCCCATGGTCTGGATGTTCTGTATCTTCTTGCTCCCTTTAGGTGGTGTGCCTGGCAATATAAGTTATAGTACTGTCTCTCCTGAACTGAAGAGTGACACACTTCAGGGTGGAAAAGCTTACAGGAAGGTTGTATTTTCCTGTTGTCACATGGGCACGGCATTTTCTGGGGAAATCAAAGTTGCACATCCCATCTGTTTTTTCCAGATATTCCATGCCTGCGGATACCTAGTGCATATAATTTGCATAGGTCTGATTTTTGTATGCCTTGGGTTTTCGTGACTGCATTCCCCACTGGTGCGTGTTTTTCTGTCTCTTCTATCTTCAGTACTTGTACTGACAATGGTACCTTCACCAGTATTTTCTGGTACAGTGGACCCCCGCATACCGGACGCCTTGCATAACGGACAATCCGCATACCGGACGCTTTGATCGCTAAAATTTTGCCTCGCATACCGCCCAAAAACCCGCTCAGCGCCCTTCGTCCGAGACGCGTCCAATGTGCGGCCTGAGCCACGCTCACATGTTCCGCCGGTGGCATTGTTTACCAGCCAGCCTCCGCGGTAACATCCAAGCATACAATCGGAACATTTCGTATTATTACAGTGTTTTTGGTGATTTTTTTCTGGAAAATAAGTGACCATGGGCCCCAAGAAAGCTTCTAGTGCCAACCCTACAGCAATAAGGGTGAGAATTACTATGGAGATGAAGAAAAAGATCATTGATAAGTATGAAAGTGGAGTGCGTGCCTCCGAGCTGGCCAGGTTGTATAATAAACCCCAATCAACCATCGCTACTATTGGTGGTACAGCTGCTGCTGCTGCTGTACCACCGTCAGCTGCTGCTGCACCGTCAGCTGCTGCTGCACTGTCAGCTGCTGCTGCACTGTCAGCTGCTGCTGCTGTACCACCGTCAGCTGCTCCTGCTGCTGTAGTACCGTCTGCTGCTGCTGTAGCATCGTCTGCTGCTGCTGTAGCATCATCTGCTGCTGCTGTAGCATCGTCTGCTGCTGCTGTAGCATCGTCTGCTGCTGCTGTAGCATCGTCTGTTGCTGCTGTACCACCGTCAGCTGCTGCTGCTGCTGTAGCATCGTCTGCTGCTGCTGCTGCTGTAGCATCGTCTGCTGCTGCTGTAACATCGTCAGTTGCTGCTGTAGCATCGTCTGCTGCTGCTGTAGCATCGTCTGCTGCTGCTGTAGCATCGTCTGTTGCTGCTGTAGCATCGTCTGTTGCTGCTGTACCACCGTCAGCTGCTGCTGCTGCTGTAGCATCGTCTGCTGCTGCTGCTGCTGTAGCATCGTCTGCTGCTGCTGTAACATCGTCAGTTGCTGCTGTAGCATCGTCTGCTGCTGCTGTAGCATCGTCTGTTGCTGCTGTAGCATCGTCTGTTGCTGCTGTACCACCGTCAGCTGCTGCTGCTGCTGTAGCATCGTCTGCTGCTGCTGTAACATCGTCAGTTGCTGCTGTAGCATCGTCTGCTGCTGCTGTAGCATCGTCTGTTGCTGCTGTACCACCGTCAGCTGCTGCTGCTGCTGTAGCACCGTTGTTGGTGTGGCTTATTGAGAATACCAAGAAACAATTAACCCCAGAGGATTTGCCACCCAGGATAGCCCAAAAAAGTCAGTGTCATCGAAGACTGTCTAACTTATTTCCATTGGGGTCCTTAATCTTGTCTCCCAGGATGCAACCCACACCAGTCGACTAACACCCAGGTGAACAGGGAAAAATGCCTGGAACTAGTGCTCATATTGGTGAATTTAGAGCCAGCAAAGGTTGGTTTGAGAGATTTAAGAATCGTAGTGACATACACAGTGTGATAAGGCCTGTTCTGGAAGAAAATGCCAAACAGGACCTACAGTACTCAGGAGGAAAAGGCACTCCCAGGACACAGTGTCTCATCAGTCACTGCTGCATCTTCAATAAAGGTAAGTGTCATTTATTCTTCATTTAGTAGAGTAGTACATGCACAATATATATTGTGCATGTACTACTCTACTATTGTGCATGTATCCTTCTCTTTGTGTGTAGGAAAATGTGGTAAAAATTTTTTTTTCATACTTTTGGGTGTCTTGCACGGATTAATTTGATTTCCATTATTTCTTATGGGGAAAATTCATTCGCATACCGAACATTTCGCATAACAGCCAGCCCTCTTGCACGGATTAAGGTCGCTATGCGGGGGTCCACTGTATTTTATCTTCACTATTCTTTGGGGCATCCACTTGTTTACTATCTCCAGTGGTATTGCTAGTTTATAACTTTGGGTTTTGTATGTCCTTGTCTACATATGTTTCCCCACTAGAGCTCATGTTATTGCAGCCACATAGTCGGTAATTACTATTAGTGAACATTTGTCCTCCCTTAACCCTTTCAGGGTCCGTCCCGTAGATCTACGGCTTTACGTTCAGGGTCCAAACCGTAGATCTACGCCGTGAGCTCAGCTCACTCTGATAAACTGTGAGTGGTACATTTAGGCCTAGATATGAGAGAATACATCTATGTGGTATGTGTGCACCACATAAAACAGAACCTGCAGCACACTGTGTATAATGAGAGAAAAAATCTGAAATCATGATTTTTCGATTAAAACAGCGACTTTGCAGTGTTTTTTCGTATGTTTTTTATAGTTCTATTTGCGATTTCTTGGTCTCATTTGATAGAATGGAAGACATATTACAGAAATAGAGATGATTTTGATTGGTTTTAGCACTGGAAATGGCTTGAAACTGAGCTCAAAGTAGCGGAAATGTTAAATTTTTGCCGATATTCAAGAGTAAACAAACGACCTCACACATCTAATACACGTCAGCTGGTGGGTCTAATATACATTCACAAATATGGTGATGATATTTATACAATTATTACAGTATTGCATAACAGTAAATCTTCTATTTTTTGGTGTGAATAAAAATTCATTATGTGAATAAAAAATCAAAATGGAATTTATTTGTAAAGCCTCAAAATGTAACTAATGAACAGAGGAAATGTTAGTTTAGTTCCAGGAATACCTACATTGTTTATTCTGGGGCCTATTTTGAAATTGGAATATTTTGAACTTTGTGTTAAATTGGCCAAATTAACAATTTCCGATCACTTTATTTTGTAGTTGAAACAGTTGACTTGGCGATTTCTTGTGCTCAATCGATAGAATAGAAGTAATACTAGTGAAATAGCTAAGAATTTGGTTGATTGGAATAATGTAATTGGCCTAAAATGGGAGTCAAAGTCGGCAAAATCGCCAATTCGTAAATATCGCTGACACATCAAAATTCGCGAGAGCATAATTTCATCAATTTTCCACCAAATTTCGTACTTTTTGTTTTATTACCTTCACAAAAAGATTCTCTACGATTTCATAAGAAAAAATAACAAATTTTTTTTTTTAAAATTCTTGGACACTGGGGCACCACTTCAGATTTGGGCCTTGGACCCTGAAAGGGTTAAAATGGTACCAACAACAATTACTATTTTAAGTGCCTTCTTGTAGGTAACAGGGGCAGCAGATGTTATCATCAGTATTATGCAGTATATTACAACCCAGGATTCCAAATGGCCTGTTATCCCGATGTAATGGGAGCAAAATAAACACAGCAGAAAAAGTAACCATCTCAGACCACTAATTACCCAACAAAAGGCTGCAGTTAGAATGATAACAAATTCTCACTATAGGCAGCACACTCCACCAATATTCAATACACTAAACCTACTCACCATACAAAACATCCATACTTATTACTGCACCTATTACATACATAGAACACTTAACTCTGATATTAACCCTCCCCTCAAACATCTCCTTGCCAACCTCAACAGAACACATGACCATAACACAAGGCACAGATCACTCTTTGATGTTCCTCGTGTCCATCTCACACTATGCAAAAACTCAATGCACATAAAAGGCCCTAAAATCTGGAATTCATTACCTGTAAATATAAAAGAAACACTACCTGTTTATAAATTCAAGTCTCTTCTCAAAGATCACTTACTCACCCAAAACCAAATAAATACTTAATAACTGAACCTTATAAATTGTATATCTTAAATGTTTCTCACAATTATATCACATAAATGTTAAACCTAAAACCCAATCTAACTTTATTATTTTTTAAATACACTACCTAACAGAATACTCCATTCTACTGAATGTACAACAATGCATACAACCATATGACCTGTCTTTGTAATACTCACTTGTGCTTTATAGTAATCTGTTTACATTAAAGTTTTATCACTGATTTCATCATTGCTTAGTTAATCTTAAGTTAATTTTAAGCCAGCCCGTAATGCTATGCATAGTATAAGTGGCTTTGGCATGCTGCTCTTATCTGTATTTTTTGTACCTCTGTATGTGTGCTCAAATTTTAAATAAATAAATAAATAAATAAATATTATCCTTCACCAATTTAGAACAGCAATATGTACACTATGTACAGTGATAAGTATAGTGCGCTCCACAGTAAGCAAGGCAGAAATAGAAGCCACAAGATAGCAGACCGTGCTTCAACCAGCTCTAGAATGGGAATGATAAGGGCAGACAGGAGAGTGGTACGCACATAACCTCTGCGATTGCCAAAACCACCATCCTATTGGCTAGAACCTGGTCACTAGTTGAATGATGGGGCCCCATCATCAACTCTTAGCAACCTGGTTCACTGGTTGGGGGAGATAGCCTGTAAATGAGGGTGTGTACATGCGCCGAATAAAGGTTACGTACTCTTTGCATGCCACACAGTATTTGTATGATGCGCTATACTCTGTGGATCGTTCAAAGCAAGAACTATTAGCGAAAGCCTTAGCTTACATTACCATAATTGCAAAACAGGTAAGACACTAATTGCATTTGCCAATCACACTGTAAGAATTGCTTACATATCTCGACTCACCTGGGATTGAATCTAGGCGTTTCAGTTGTGATTTGAACGTGTTAATGCTGTATGAATCTAATGTGAATCACAATAAGATTCAGATCAAATTTTCTCTCCTCCATATAGTCAGGGTACACAGTTACACCAGTGAGTGTGGTGGAGTCTGGACCTCTGGTGGTGAAGCTCCGCTGGGACGTGATCATCAGTGCTCACTCAACCCTCACTCAGGACATCGAACTGACTGCCGCCTCCCCGTACCTTACATGCACAACCTCCGTCACCTGGGGAGAGAACAGAAAGTTCCTCAAAGCACTCTTCGACACCAGCATTCACTCCCAGAGAGCCAGCTTTGACATCCAGTTCGGTCACCTGGAACGCCCCACACACATGAACACATCGTGGGACTCTGCTAGATACGAAGTCTGTGGACACAAGTGAGTTACCAACCAACATTTCCTCTCAACATAGAAAATGGTACTCATAATACTTTTTTGTTATTTGTTAGAGTTATGATGCAATTAAGAATTTTATGTATGTTACAAATTAATATTATTTTTTTCCATACAAATTATGTGTGTGGGGAACTGCTAAAACTGTAGAAATTATTGGCTATCAACAAAGGATGGGAAGTTACTATCATCTAAGGGGATGGGAGGTTATTGACTATCAACTAAGGGAATGGGAGGTTATAGACTATCAGCTATGGGAAGATGTCACTTTGTTATGAGTATACAATACCCACAAGTAGATGAGTTAGACATGCAACACCAAACTGATGCACAAGGGAATGAATAAACACACGTGCAACACTTGGGTATATTTATTGCAGAAACATTTCGACTGTACATCAGGCTTAGTCAGTTGAATACAGAAGTGACTTTTATACTGGAGAGAGTGGAAGTACATAGGAAATTTTGAGGTGTTCAGTTGATAAAGAGTTCAGTTCCTTATCCCTGACTGAGGGCGTTGAGTCTCTTCATCATATTCTATCTTATGGAGAAGAGGTAAGGTTACATAAGTATTGTCAGGAAACAGGACAGTTATTATTTTTATTATAATCAAAACTAAACACTAAACCACCAGGGTCATACGGTATTGTAGGGTGAGGAGTGCTAAAGGAAGTACAATCAAAGGTTGTGTAATAAATCTGTTGCTGTCAAAAAGTCAGAGGGAGTCTGTGTCAAAGGTGGGGCCGTCAGTGAGGAGGGAAGATAAAGTAAGGGTGTTAGAGCAGTGATGACATAGGAGGTAAATTCTACATGCTCGCTGATAGACTAGACAGTCCAACAGAATATGGCAAACTGAAACTGGAACCTGACAATTCGGACAGAGTGAGACTGGGCGCCTCACCATGAGATACCCATGAGTAAGACGTGTGTGCCTAATGTGAAGACAGGAAAGCATAGTCTCCCAACCATGGTGTTGATGTCCAGTAGACCAGGATCATAAACTCAACTTGATAGAATATAATTTGTTATGAATCAGTTCAGACCAATGTTGTTACCAATGGTTGCGAAGATGCCTAGAGATTACAGCAAAATAATGTGAGGATGGAATGCCTCTATATGAAACTGGTAGGTCGTGTACCGCTGATCGTGCAGGAGAATCTGCCTGACCATTCCCCTGAACATCATCATGCCTGGGTAACCAGCAGAAAACGAACTATGGGATGGGGCGAATTAAATTTTTTGATAACTTACAAAGCAATAAAGGAGTCTGAGACTACCACAAATGATGAGGTAGGCCTGAATGCAATATGGATAATTGCTGAGAATTGCATACAGTTCAGCTGTGAAGGTGCTGAGTCTAATAAATGACCTCGTACAACACTGTCCATGAACACTGCTGAAACCTGACACCATCAGAGGATATAGAACCAACAGTGTAAGAAGACACTGCAGGTATTTGAACTTTCGCGCCTGACAGTGGTGAAGAACAGACATGAACTATTGGCACTTCCCAAGGTGGAAGAGAAAAGTTAAATGCTAAATGTACATAAAAAGAGGGGGCTGAAAAGAAGTTAAGAGTGAGTGAAGACGAAGAGAAAAGGGATGGAGTAAATAGGGGAGGAGAACAAATAATGGACCTCTACTAACATTCATTACTATCCTGTATGTAGAAGGATCGTGAAGGTCATAAGAGCGGACAAAATAACGAAGGCAATGGCCATCAGGGCGATTTTTCAAGGATGGAATATTCGCGTCTGCATATAGGTTCTCGACAGGTGAGGAGCTAAAACCACCAGGACATAAACATGATCCCTCATGATGGATGGGATCAAGATTAGAAAGAGTTGCGGGAGAGGCCGCAGAATATATCTGGTCACCAGAGTCTAGCTTCGATAAAGTTAGGGCTGAATGAAGTCGAAGGAGAGTGTGACGATCCGCCCCCCCCCCCCATGAAAGATGACCAAGGGTTTGAAGCAGGCCCAGCCGATTATAGCAAGTTGCTTTCAGGGAGGTAATGCGAGGTTTCCAGGCCAGTCGGCGATTAACCCTTAAACTGTCCAAGCAGATCTCTGTTCACATGCGTAGTGCTCCAAAAGTAGATCTATGTTTTTTTTATATATTTTCAAATATAACAAAAAAATGTAGATCAAAGTTTTTTACACTTTTTCAAATGTAAAAAAAGAAAAGAAGATCTACTTTTTTACATACTTTCAAATGTTAAAAAAATGTAGATCTGCATTTGGACAGTTTAAGGGCTAAACAAAGGCCGAGAAATCTGACCGCATCATGTTCAAGTATACTTGAGCCATACAGGTACAATGGAGCATCAGAAATAACATTTCTGGTGAAAGTAATTTGGTGCATTTTTCATCAGAAAATTTAAACCAGTGTGTAGTGGCCTAATGGGAAACAACATTGTTGACAGCATTCTGGAGTGAGGCTGCTACTAGGTAACAGTCAGTGCCTGCACAAGCTATAGGAAAGTCATCACATAAAGTAGTGACCAAATATTAGACAGGAGAATAGGTGCCAGATCATTTATAGCAACTAGAAAAAAAATGGTGCTAAGGAAACATCCCTGAGGGACACTTTCAGCTTGGACAAAGTCCGGGGAAAGCAAATTACACTATTAACCTGAACACAGAAATGTCTCTCGCATAAGAAGCTTTTAAGGAAAAGTGGCAGATTGCCTCTGAGGCCTTAGGAATGAGCTTGAGCCAAGATGTTATATCTCCAAGTACAGTGGACCCCCGCCTTACGATATTAATCCGTTCCTTATCATAAGGCGAATTAATTTTCCCCACAAGAAATAATGGAAATCAAATTAATTCGTGCAAGACACCCCAAAGTATGAAAAAAAAAATTTTACCACCTGAAATATTAATTTTAATACACACAAACTGAAGAAGACATGCACAATTACTACTCTACTAAGAATAAAATACATGACACCTACCTTTATTGAAGATCTGTTGATGATTGATGAGATGGGAGGAGGGGAGAGTGTGGAAGTTGTTATTGTTTAGAAGGGGAATCCCCTTCCATTAGGACTTGAGGTATCAAGTCCTTCTCCAGGGTTACTTCCCTTCTTCTTTTAATGCCACTAGGACCAGCTTGAGAGTCACTGGACCTCTGTCACACAACAAATCTGTCCATAGAGGTCTGTGCCTCCCGTTCCTTTATGGCTTTCCTAAAATGGGCCATAACAGTGTCATTGTAATAGTCACCAGCACGGCTTGCAGTAGCTGTGTGAGGGTGATTTTCATCCGCAAAGGTTTGCAGTTCAACCCACTTTGCAAACATTTCCTTAATCTTTGAAGTAGGCAACTTCCTCAGTTTCTCTCTCCCCTCCTCTGAAGCAGTTTCCTCAGGTCTGGTCTCTTGCTGTTGAAGATGATCTTGCAGCTCTTCAGTGGTTAGTTCTTCATTGTCCTCCTCCACCAACTCTTCCACATCCTCCCCACTAACCACCAACCCCATGGACTTTCCCAATGCCACAATAGATTCCACAACTGGCATAGGCTCCTGAGGGTTAGCCCCAAACACTTCAAAATCCCTTTCTTCTACACATTGTGGCCACAGTTTCTTCCAAGCAGAGTTCAAGGTCCTCTTAATCGCTCCCTCCCAAGCCTTACCTATAAGGTTTACACAACTGAGGTTGCTAAAGTGATCTTTCCAAAACTCTCTTAGAGTCAATCGAGTGTTTGAGGTCACTTCAAAGCACTTTTGAAACATAGCTTTTGTGTAGAGTTTTATGAAGTTTGAAATGACCTGCTGGTCCATGGGCTGCAGGAGAGGAGTGGTATCAGGAGGCAAAAACTTGACCTTAATGAACCTCATGTCCCTAGAAAGTCTCTCTGCCAAGTCTGAAGGATGACCAGGAGCATTGTCTAATACCTGGAGGCACTTAAGGTCCAATTTCTTTTCCATTAGGTAATTTTTCACAGTGGGGGCAAATGCATGGTGTAACCAGTCATAGAAAAGGTCCCTAGTGACCCATGCCTTACTGTTTGCCCTCCACATCACACACAAATTAGCCTTGATGACATTGTTTGCCTGAACGCTCTGGGAGTTTCAGAGTGATACACCAATAAAGGCTTCACTTTGCAATCACCACTAGCATTAGCACACATCAGAAGAGTAAGCCTGTCTTTCATAGGCTTAGGTCCTGGGAGTGCCTTTTCCTCCTGAGTAATGTAGGTCCTGCTTGGAATTTTCTTCCAAAACAGGCCTGTTTTGTTGCAATTAAACACTTGTTGAGGCTGCATTTCTTCACTTTCTGTGTAATACTTGAATTCTTTCACATATTTTTCAGCCTCTTTTTGGTCCGAACTGGCAGCCTCACCATGCCTTATCACACTATGTATGCCACTACGCTTCTTAAATCTCTCAAACCAACCTTTGCTGGCCTTAAATTCACTCACATCACCACTAGTTGCAGGCATTTTTCTAATTAAATCCTCATGCAACTTCCTAGCCTTTTCACATATGATCACTTGAGAGATGCTATCTCCTGCTATGTTTTTCATTTATCCACACCAATAACAGTCTCTCAACATCTTCTATCACTTGCAATCTCTGTTTCAAAAACAAAGTTGCACCTTTTGCAAGAACAGCTTCCTTGATTGCCCTTTTGTTGGCCACAATAGTAGTCATAGTTGATTGGGGTTTGGTATACAACCTGGCCAGCTCGGAGACACGCACTCCACTTTCGCACTTATCAATTATCTCTTTCTTCATTTCCATAGTAATTTTCACCCTTTTTACCGCAGGGTTGGCACTAGAAGCTTTCTTGGGGCTCATGGTGACTTATTTTGCAGCTACAATCACTAACAACACTGTGATAATATGAAATGTACCGAATGTATGCGTGGATGCGACCGCACTGTCTGGCTTGTAAACACTGGCATGCATGGGGCAGCTGAGGCCACACGTGGGACACATCCCGGACAAATCACGTGAGGCGAGTTTGAGGTGTTTAGTAG